ACCAACAAACAACAACAAACAAACAAAAACAAACTTGGCAAAGGGGAGTCATTCCTTTTCATAAAATGAACAATGACCCGAAAGTAGATATTCTAAAACTCTGCGAATCAGAAATGAAGAGTAAAGTATTTGCAAACCTTTCAAAATCTTCAGTCGTGAGCTGGTTCTGTGTGCATACTTTCCATGGCTCTGGATTGTACAATCTACTATCATACTACGTTGAAATTGTGAAATCCAGAGGATATGTTTAGACTTCCTTCTGCCGCCCGGTCTCACTGGTGACAAAGAATGAAAACAACTTTGGGGAAAACGCTTCAGACCTGTTTGCAACACGACCAGCTTGCGACATCACACGATACCGAACTCGGGCCTTACTTAAGTTGAGATGTCCTCACTTCGCTACGAGTCCTTAAAACAAATGTCGTATTGATTTCCAGAGCAGTAGGAGAAACCGATAGCTCGCTTCCACACTGACCAATCCCTGTCGAGAATATTGTTATCACGTTGTCTCCACAGCACTCTCTGATTCCATCTCGCCGAATTGTTGCCCTCATTAAACCTTAGCGTACCTGCCGCGAGCTTGTCGTGTGCGGAGGTGGCACTAGCAGGGGGGTGGCATGGTGTCATAATGGTGCTTGTGCACCGATGTTGATGAGCAACGTTGTCGTTTTCTTCTTCAGATTTTGCGACTTAACCAAATAAGGGCAATGCTCATTCAAATGCCTTACATGGAACATGCGGCGAGGCAAAACCAATGACTTTAAGAAAGCTATATAACATTATTTGAATACAAATTTAATGGAGTCTTATCTGCAGACGAGGCTGCAGGAAATCTTGTTTCAGGCAACTTCCCGTGTAGCTCTGTGCACTCACCTAAGTCAGTTGGGTTCTAATTTGTTTGTCACGTAGAATACGTGCAAATAGCCACTCTTGCATTTGTTGAGTACTTATTTCTCCCCCCTCCACTATCTCTTTTGAAGGAAAACCCTAAAATTTCTATGACCATGATTTAATAAAAATATCTATCCTGCCTAAGGGTAGAGCCATTCTACAAATGGCGTAACAGGTTACAGTTTGGAAAAAAGTAATAGCTAGGGGTACGCCTTAGGCAAAGATAGTGGGGAATCATGGGCGAGATTTCGCGTGCTCTAAAGTGCAGCTGACAAAAACAAAACAACACAAGCCCTCAAGTAAAGACAAAGTCAGATTGGATCGGCCAAAATCTAAGAACTATATTGAGGCCTAACTTGATGACATAATGTTAATTGCAAAGGAGGTTTGTCTAGGGTATGTGTGAAGGCTCATTAATCAGATTTTGAGAAACTTCCACGGATATTATGATGACATAGAAATGTTTTATGTTCACTGGCTTCCTAATCGGTGATAATTTTCTACTTTTTTCTGGCGAACCGAATCCCCAACTTTGTGTAACCTTTCAGAATTTAAACAAGCCAGATCTTAACTATCTGCTTTTAGGATACTACTTACTCTTTTGGATACATATAATTTTTTTTGGAACTTCTGTTATTTTGTTCCTCTGTTGAAACAATTTTCAAGCCGTATTCGAAACTCCCGAATCTTTTGGATAGCCCCCGATAACAAGATGTAGGCCTCATCGAATATTGGAAAGAGGCGTCAGTGGCCTAGTGGTTAGGCGACCGGACTCGTAATCGTGAGGTTGTGGGTTCGGGGGTTCGAGCCGCGGGCCGACGTTGTGTCCTTGGGACCTTTCCAAGGCACTTTACACGAATTTTCCCCTCTTCACCCAGCTGGGAATGGGTACCCAGCCATAGACAGTGAAAGATCTTGTCAGTTTGTTGGTGTTTGAGCGCTTAACCGGCCGCTTGCTCTGTATACTTCCCTGGAAGCTAAGAATGTTTTTGAGTGTTTCTGCTGTAGTAATAATATAGTGTAAAGCGCATAGAGCCACCTTTCGAGTGGGGACATGCGCTATACAAATGCTATTTATCATTAAGATGGATAAAGTAAGTAGCTTGAACCATTTTAGCAATTGAATTTATTTTCAAAAGCGAATTGACTTTCAGCAAACACCAAGGCTGTACATATTTTAAAAGATACAGGACTCCCACAGACATCTACTGGCGGGAAAACAGAAAAACACCAAATCGCTCTTCAAAACCTCATTGTTGGCGTGTGGGCTCTTTCTTTTGTCTTGGCGCCTGCTTAGAATAGCCGCCGCCTAAATGAGTGTCACCCTGATGTGGCTGTACCACGTTTTTCGTCATGGGAATTGTGCTACGTTTTACGCTAATTCAGTTTCGGGTAAATAAAACAGACACGTATCTAGAGTATTCCATTAGTTCAGAATATTCCACTCCTTCGTCTACATACTCGAGCAAAATCAAATTTCCTTAACAAATCAGATGTTACTCTTCCTTTGCTTTGTTCCGGATCTAAGATTGTTTGGGCATCTTATCCAGTGTATTGTGAAGGGTAAGTTCCACTGAGGCCTCACTCTCTGTGCATTCACACCTTGTTATCTTTGCAGTAGTTTTAATTGAAGGATAAACAATTAATGTCATAAAGGAAAGAGAGAAAGGGAGGACACCAGTAAAGAGAGAGGTAAATGAAGAGAGAGAGAGAGAGAGAGAGAGAGAGAGAGAGAGAGAGAGAGAGACAGGGAGAGAGTGGATGGGGAGGAGAGAGTGAAAGAGCCAGATGAGCAGACAGAATAAGAGAAGAGACACTGGAATGAATGGGAAACAGACTACAGACTAACAGATAGAGAAAGAACTATG